ATTTATTATTTATAATGTATATAAAGTTTTTCTTTTCCCTTTTTGTTATTTTAACATAGGTTCGACTCCCGAATTCATAAACATATCAGCCGGTCGAAAAATATCGAGTAATAGTCTAATTCGCAAGAGCAGCATCATTGGAAAGAGTCCAAAAAATTGAGCATTACCCTATAGTATGAGCTCGGGATATGCTGTAGTCCAAAGCAAACATTTTAAAAACACTTTCCTGCAAGAACGATTTTTTTGTCTTTCTTTATTTTTTCTTTCATTCTCTCCGCTGCATTGAAAATGATAAATGAAATAAATCTATTCAAAATAAATTAAACGATGAATAATTGAAGTTTCCATAGAATATGAATGAGTTTTCAAATTGAGAAACTTAGTCTATAACAATAGTGTCACATATTCTCTCAATTACTTTAAACCTCAATTATCTTAAAAGTTCGATTTTATTCAATTTTTCATATTATTTGAAAATTAAACAGCTTGGTGCTATTCAATTGGAATACATAGAAGCAATTTTCTTTTTATCAATTCAAATGTCTAAGTTTTATACTTTAAGCTCATTCAATCATATGAAATCCTTAGAAAATTCTTTATCTGATATAGATATAATAAAATTACAAGGTTAGAAACAGCCTAATACACTGAGCAAAAAGTATAAATTATTTGAAAGAGGTATTGCCCGGTCCTGAAGAAAAATTTTTAAAAATAGATTTCTCAGAAATACTCTTTGCTTTTTTCACTTTCTGCTGGACAATCTATTTATTATGTTCTTTCTTTCGTCTTGTACGTTGTGATTCATAAGTATATGTCCAGTTGAACATGTGCTTATGAATCAGAACGAATAAGACGAGAGAACGAATATCTAAAAAATAGATTGCACCGAGCAAAATAAAAAGAATGAAAGATTCTTACTGAGAAATTTATTTTTATAAATTTTAGCCCGAAGCTTGATTATCAGAGGTGCATATGGATATATGTGTCACTAAAGAATTAAAAGTAATTCTTCTCATATTGATTGGTCATGTTCGTGAGTAATAACCATTTGTAATCACATTACATCACTTATTATATATTGATTCATTGTATTTATTTGTTTCGTACAATTGTTGTTTGTTAGGACCTGACCTCTATTGTTATTTTATTGTTGTATTGTTTGTCCACTTATTATATAATGTGTCCTCCTTTTTCTTTGTTTTTCTCTCACATTATATTTTAAAATAAACATTCAGTGAGATATTGTACATCTTTGAACTCACTAACCCTATATCTTTTCTTTTATTTGGTGCAGTATCTTACAGTGGTGACAGCGGTGTTTCTGGAACCTCTTTTGTGAAAGGAGTGTGCCGTTAAGTGAATTATTAATTATAAGTCTCATGGCTGCAAATACTCGATCGAAACAACAAGTTAAAAATGAATCAACTTCTACTGTGGAGTCTAATAACATTTTACCATCAACACAATTAGTTGACGATTCGGATGATGATCATAAAAAACAATCTAACAACATCGTTCAACACACTTTAGAAAAATGGGATGCTTATCGAGAATATGAACAACAACAATTAGAATCAATTAAATTATTAACTGAAGAAGAAATGTCGAATATTGATCAATGGTTATTAGATTTACATCAGGTGTATGAAGAATTACGATACCCGATGTTACGTCGTATTTGGCAAACTATTACTTATTTACAAGATGAAGAACGGCTTTGGTATGAACAGGAAAAACAAGAAATCAAAAATGATTGGCTTTATTTTTGCAAGAAGTTGAAACAACATATTTATGGTCAATCGAACATTAATATTATTTCTTCAAAAGCTCATTATTTATCGTCTGTTAATGAAATGACACAAGTGGAACAATTTTCTTTGACTAAGTCTTCGTCCATTGAAATTAATTCATCATTATCATCAGCTCTTTCCATTACCATGGCGAGGGAGATTATCAAGTCTCCAACATATTTTCGTGGTGCAAAGGATGATGTTATCGAATGGTTAGAAAAATTAGAACAACGATTTACAATGGCTAATTGGCCTGATGAATTTAAATTACAATATATATCGATTCATTTACAAGAAGATGCTTATCGTTGGTGGTATCAATCATCAGCAAAAATTACTAGTTGGTCAAGTTTCGTCGAAGCAATTAAACAAGCTTTCGGATCAACCAAAATGAAAGAATTCACATTTGAACAATTGCGAACATATAAACAAGCAATTAATCAGTCTATTACACAATATTATGACAAAATTATTGAATTATGTAAAAGAGTTGATACATCAATGACTGATTCTATGAAATTACAATATTTAATGGCTGGTGTTAAACAATCATTAAAATTACATATTGGATTATACGATCCACAATCTCCTGAAGCATTTTTATCTTATGCTAGGAAACTAGAAGATACATTATCATTAACCAATACAGATTATGATTTGAATCAATATGATAATCATCAGAATACGAGTTATGATTGTCAACCAACAACATCAACAATTAATTCTCGACAAGATGTTGATCAGCAACGTACTGATGTTCATCAATCACAACTACAAACTTCTACATCAGGTCATATGAATAATTTTCGTAATAAAAATGTTTCATATTCTAGATTATCAAAAAATACAACGTCAAAAAGGGCATCAGGTGTTTGTTATACTTGTGGGACTCCCGGACATTATTCACGGGATTGCGCCCGTTCATTTCCATTAAGGGAAGCATCGATTGATGGTGTTGCTTCCAAGAAT